AGTTTTTTTTTTCTTCTCACAATCCTGCACCCACGATTGCGTGCAAACCCGCGTTTGCAAATTTGTATGCACATAGCAAATGCACGCCATGATTTTGTTGCTTGGTGGCACTTCTGGACTCTGAGAACTCATGGCAGTTGCTGTATGTTTCCCACTTGCGGCTATAAGTGCTCGTTGGTTGCATTTCCTTCAGTGGTTGGTAAATACATGTCAAGCTGCAGCTTTACGTATGTATGTAATGTGACATCATATCGCGACATGAACATTTATTGTTGCTGAGCTAGAGACTGAAAATATAGATGGTAATGTAAGTTATAAAAACAAATATAAAGAGTGAGGCATCCCTTAGATTTGTATTACAGTGAGAGCTTTGGTTGAGTGCATGAAATTCTAAGCTATGGAAAGGCTACAAAACAATTCATGGATGTTGCCATCAGCTAAAAAACTAGGCATCAAGGATGTTTGCCGCGGTGACGGCATTGTGTGGAGTGCTCGAGTTGCACCCTTTAATTTTAAAAATATGAAATGTGTAATAAACAGTGCCCTTTGCAGACTCAGGCCTCGGCAACTGGACTGCCTGCACCCTGCGAGGCAGAAATGACCCTCAGGGACTGTACTGCTGAAACAAACATCCCTGCAGTGGTGCCACCTGTCCCTGTCGCAGACGTGCCTGCACAGTCGCATCCACCCGAGTCTGCCTTCTCCACTTGTAGCAGTGGGGTGCCATATGAATGCACATCTCCTGTTCCCAGCAACATGCCAGACTCTGACGCAACCTACTCTCCGTCTCACAGCGAGGATTACGAGAGGTAAGTTGTGCATATAAACACATAGAATCTGTAAAGAATGCTTCACATGATCCCATTTCAGAATCGAGCATGGTGCATCAGCTTCACCACCACCACCAGAAGAAGAGCGCCAGTTTCTGGTGTTCGAGAGCTGCCTAAGGGAGCTTTTCAAGACGTGCCAAGAGTGCTCAAGACTGTGCCAAACAACGATCGAAACTACCGGCACACTGATCACAGTCTACAGCATCTGCCCTGTGGAGCACGTGCGCACATGGAAAAGCCAGCCCATCGTCAACGGCAGACCAGCAGGGAACATACTGCTGACCAGCCACCTGGTCTTCTCTGGAGTGAAGATTGCCCCTACGCTGCGGATGCTACGCCATATGAACGTGCAGGTCATCTCCGACTCGAGCTTCTACGAGCATCGGAAGGCCTTCGCTCTACCTGCAATCCACAAGGTGAGCAATATTCCGGGACACTGCAACTGCATTTTTTTCCCATATACCCAATTTTCCAATGAGGTACAAAACTGGAGCCCCAGTCACACTTCGGTTAAATGAATAAATATCTTCTTGTAGTATGCCACTTCAATGGTATAGTGCTAAGAGATAAAATTTTATACATCATGTTACATATGTGCCATGGGCTACTAAATCCACGATACTTTAATTTATTTCTGCTATGTGTAGTATCCTGGGGCAGTTCCCTGTCTGGCATTGGGTTGAGTGAGTCAGGTTCCCCGTGAGAGTCAAGAGACAGAGGGTGGTTGTCAGAATGGAAAAGGGTAGGGCAGCTTCGAGGTAACGGGCGGCCTGCTGCCTCTTTTATGAAATACACAAACATAAAAACACAAATCACAACCTAGCACAATCCAAGTCACATTCAAACTCGCTGCATTGTGATTTCCTTTTTCTTTCACTCAGTCATTCATTCTACAACACTACACTATGCATACATAAACAGATGGGACTATTGTAGTATGCTCCATGCCTTTCTAAAGCAATATTTATCTGCATGAACAGGTCTGGCTGCAAGAGCAACAAGAACTTCTCAACGAGTTGCAGAACAAAGAGGTGGACATCTCTGCTGACGGGAGATTTGACTCCCCTGGGTTCTGTGCCAAGTACCTGACGTACACAGTCCACGTCGAGCAAATCAACAAGATTCTACACTCTGTCCAGGTCCAGCTAAAAGAGGCAAGTAGTCGAATTTACGTGAACCAGTTGCAACAATCTCATAATCTTTCTCTTGTGTTATGTCATCAGTTACTTCACTGCTATGCACTATTTTGGTAAAATATTCATTTCACACCTTTTTTTAGTCTGAACAGGCCATGGGCAGTGTCAACATGGAGAAGGAGGGCCTCCTCAAGCAGCTGCAATTCTTCAAGGAGAAAGGTATGTTCATGCTTAGTTCATGTATATCACTACTCGGCGGCCTTTCAGGCACTCTGTTCAAATTGGCATAATCACTTATTCTTTTGCTATCTTCGGAAACCTAATGGTGCAGGTATCAAGATCCGATCGTTGGTGACTGACCGTCACCCTGCCACACGAAAGCACATGAAGACGCACGAACCCGGGATTGACCACTTCTTTGACATATGGCACATCTCCAAAAGTAAGCAATCCTAACAGGCCATTCGTGTAGCCTTTATTTTCCAGCGATCACGCTGCAGGTTTCCCTGACACGACTCTGAATTTTAGGTGTGAAAAAGAAGCTGACAGCAGCAAGCAAACGGGCTGGATGCCAAGACCTGCAAATCTGGATCCAGACAGCTACAAACCATATGTACTGGTCAGCAAGGGCTGCAGGAGGCGACGAGAAGCTGCTCATCGACATCTGGCTCAGCATGCACAACCATGTCATCAACAAACACTCGGGGCACGAAGGAACCTATGGAAGGTGCCTCCATGGTGACATGCCAGAGCCAACACGACCATGGATGGATCCCAGTATGTTTTTGTTCTTCCAAATGAAGGTGGTTTTTCTAAAACTTGTATCATCCTCAGACTCGCAGGCCTACAACCAATTCAAGAGCATCACTGGCAACAAACTGCTCCTGAAGGACCTTGCACAGATGTCTCCACATGGCCAGACATATGCCTTGGAGGCGTTCCACAGCGTCCTGATAGACTTCGCCCCGAAGTCCCAGGCTTTCAGCCCAGAAGGCATGCTTGCAAAGTAAGTCAACCAATTTACAATCACATTTCCTTTGTTTGGACACTTTCATCCAGTCCATTGGTTACAATGCGACAAACCTGACAGTCTCTTCCTAATGATCAGATAATGGAATTGGATTGATGCCAGAATAACCACTCTTTGTAAGTGGCACACTTTACCATCACTGAAATGTAACCATCTTGCAGGACTCGACTTGCAATCCTCCATTTCAACGAAAACTCAAACCGCTGCCAAGCCGTCACACGAGAGGGCAAGCCACGTTGGTCGGTCGTAACATCAAAAGCACGAAAGGGCCACCACACAGCACGACCAGAGATTACGGATCCCACTTACAGTGAGTATAACACTAACTGCAGTGTGAATGCCTTGTCCAGAGAGCCTAGGAATGTTATCATGCAAAGGTTTGAATTCTAGAGTATGTTGGAAAGCTCATCAAGGAGGCAATGGAGAGCAGCAAACAGTGGCGGTCCCTGGCTGCTGCATCGAGGGCCAACACCGTCGTCTTCCCGGCACCGATGACTGCAGCCTACACAAGGCCTCCAAAAGAGGAACTCGTGGCAGCACGAATGTCCAGGTTCGGCCACAGTCCCCAGTAACGGCATCAAATCCCTGGTCGGGACTTCCATGCTGCCGCAGGTAAGCACACAGGACCTTGGTCCTAATCAGGGTGCAGGATAAGCAGGTGGGGAAACGGCCCATAGAAGCCTACCGCAGCGCCGTGACCGGATTGTGTACTCGTCTGCTTGCGGGTACCCCCGATTTGCAACAGATGGCGCTGCGGCGAGAGGAAAAAAATCGGAATCGGATTTGCATGGAACTTTATGGGAGAGTGCGCAAAATAAACAGAGAGCACGACAGTCTTTATTGAAAATCCACGAGAAACCATATCCGTCAGTTTAGCCAGTCGCCCACCTGGAGTGAGAGTTTGCGGTGCTCCACATCGATGGCGCCACAGAAAAAAAGAAAACCGAGGGGTACACAATCCGGTCGCTCATTTGGCTCTCGTTTCCCCACCTGTCTATCTTACACCCTGGTCCTAATACAGCCTTGCATGGTAAGCAACCGCTTTGTTTTGCAGGACGTACGGCGAATGCAAGCAGACAGACCCAAGAGAAAACAGCCGAGCTGCAAAATGGTTCACCATTTTCCATTAGGACACCCTGACCGACAGTAAGGAGGAAGTTAGATCTGTCTGCAATCATTTTTCACAGAAATGCAGATCTCTCCTCATGAGAATGTTCCATTTTAGGGCCTAATCAAGCTGGTCATGGCATGCCTATCTCGAAACAGGGCAAGGAACTTTAGCCGGTGGCAATGTCGGAGTCACAGAAAAGTCACCAAACAGCGAGACTCAACGCTACAGCTCAACTTGCGGTGAGGACGACACTAACTTCAGTGTGAACGCCCATCTAGCCCAACTTGGAATGTCTAGGAATGTAATTATGCAACAGTCTGAATTTTCACTGTAGGTTGGAAAGTCTGTCAACGAGGCGGACAGCAGCAGGGAGCAAAGACCTGGTTGGATCTTTCATGCTGCCAGTGGTAAGCACACAGGAGCCTCGTCCTAATGAAAACTACCATGGTAGGCAATAACCGCTTTGTTTTGCAGAACGTACGGCGAATGCAAGCAGACAGACCCAAGAGAAAACAGCCGAGCTGCAAAATGGATCATCGTTTTCCGTTAGGACACCCTGACCGACAGTAAGGAGGACATTAGATCTGTCCGCAATCATTTTTCACAGAAATACAGATCTCTCCTCATGAGAATGTTCCATTTTAGGGCCTAATCAAGCTGGTCATGGCATGCCTATCTCAAAAGAGGGCAAGTAACTTTAGCCGGTGGCAATGTCGAAGTACAGAAAAGTCACAAAACAGCGAGATTCAAGGCTACAGCTCAACTTGCGGTGAGGACGACACTAACTTCAGTGTGAACGCCCATCTAGCCCAACTTGGAATGTCTAGGAATGTAATTATGCAACAGTCTGAATTTTCACTGTAGGTTGGAAAGTCTGTCAACGAGGCGGACAGCAGCAGGAAGCAAAGACCTGGTTCTATCTTTCATGCTGCCAGTGGTAAGCACACAGGAGCCTCGTCCTAATGAAAACTACCATGGTAGGCAATAACCGCTTTGTTTTGCAGAACGTACGGCGAATGCAAGCAGACAGACCCAAGAGAAAACAGCCGAGCTGCAAAATAGATCATTGTTTTCCGTTAGGACACCCTGACCGACAGTAAGGAGGACATTAGATCTGTCTGCAATCATTTTTCACAGAAATGCAGATCTCCTCTATTGATAATGCTTGATTTTAGGGCCACGATCAAGCGTAATGGAGAGATGCAAGCATTGGCACCTGCCCTCTCAAGCCGGATTTTTCAAGCCCAGCATGGTGCACCTCTATTGTTGGCACATCAGTGCCAACAGTAGAGGCATTAGGAGATGAGGACAGGCCAGTGCTATAATTCTTCCCAGTCCATTAGCTGTAATTAGGGTTCTGCGTTCTCAGATAAACCTGATAAACTCCAAAAAACACTAGCCGTTAAAATTTTGCTGATTCAGATTCATTTGAAAAACTCAATTTTTCGGTCCCCCACCAGTCTTTATATTTCCCGGAATCTTCGAACAATTTTTGCAATTCTCCTCTTATTGCAGTGTCAACTTCCGTTGCCATGTAGCCCCTTATAATAAAAATGAGGTAGGCCCTCTACGACAGTAGATGAATACGGCGCTCTCATATGAAAATACTGCTTTACTAAATTCACAAAGTGCTGTTTTCTACCTTTCATTTGCCTCATCGAAAATGCCGAAAGACTCCGAACTTTGCGTACATAAATGGAAGCTCCAAATTGATGGTTCAAAAAAACAAAACAAAAAAAAACACCCTCTAATTTTGCTAAAAAAAATTAAATTCAAGAACGCAGGATCCTAGCTATAATTTGTGCAAGCTTTCAAGATCGAGGAAATCGGTGACCGTATTGTCATATTCATTGTGGGCACACCACAATGAAGGCGGATCAAGTGCTCTTTTGAATAGCATGTAGTTCTGCACCAGAGATCCCATCCCCAGTTCACAAGCTTAGCCCATCGCAGCAGTTTTAGAAAATTGAAGTATTTTCGGAACCCAACCGACACTTTTCTGAAGACTGTAACACAATGCCTTATCCATCTTTCTTTTCATGTGCTGATGAGCGGACATGCTGTGGAGACTGCACCGAGGCGGGGCAGCCCGCCCGTGTTTCCAATAAATGGGGTTTTCATCCAGGAGGTAGGCTGGTAATGCAGCAATAACATAAGTGGGGTGGTTGCATATAACACTGGAAATATTAACAGAAGTTTTTTATGGCAATTTAAAAACAGTGCTGCATTTTCCAGTCTACACCACGGTTTTCCCCCCGTGTGCAACATTTGTCTTCTGTCATTATTGACCTGCTTGCAAATAAGTGAGGCACATTCGCTAACCATACGATTGTAATAAACTGCATTAATTTTCCAACAACTTGACTTCTCGGTACCAGAACCTGGAAGGTGTAGAAATTTGCATGACCAAAAGGAAATAATTTCATAATTGAAAACAAGTGATGCCGATGGTAGTACTAATTTTGTGATCCCCTGGATGATTTCTGCATTGTGAGGTCAATACATGGGTCGATGTAACTAGAATACTGCACTATGCCTAACTAAAAACCCGACCGAAATTGTGCCATTTCCTCAAAGTATTTGCATGATGTGAGGGTATACTTGCCAATTATAACGACAATATAAACTAACAATCGTAGTATTCACTGAAATATATAAGCAGATCCTATTTACCACCGGGAGGAAAAATCCAGGGTAACTGGGCTGTGGAGGCATAGAATATTCCATGCAGGGGATCTATTGTGCATGCTCAAAAAGCATTCCACAGCCAAGTAAAAAAAGGATTTCGCAGAAGGCTTGGACTGGAAAAGTCTATACTAGAGCACATGTTGAGAGTACAGTAATGAAATGTAGGTTGGCAATGAATTCTAAATAAAAAAAGTAATACAATTTACAGCATGCCTATAGTCGGTGACAGGTCAAGAACGAAGTGGAAGCTCCTCCCACCTCTTTCCACTTTAGTAGAGCGAGTGCTGGAGAGGAGGCGACCTCCTCTCCGTCGTTCGCTGCATTGAAGTGGACTATAGTCACCCAAGCAGAACGTCATTTGTTTGTCATGTTAGCCACGTCGTCATCCAGACCCTCGGAACAATCGACCACGTCCCTCTGAAAACTGCAGCAATCGCAATTCGCCTTTCTTCGCCTCATCGCACCGGCACGCTCAGACGGCTGATGTAGGGAAGCATCTTGTAGCTTCATGCAGTCAGATTTTTCCATGTTATATGCACTTTTTCCATTTGAAAGAACAGATCCAGAAGAAAGTAGAAGTACACTGCACAACACTGTTAGTGCGAACATGACATCGGTGCTTTTTCTATCTTTACTTTAAAATGGTATTAGTGGGTGCCAAATTTTACTGCTTAGGTTAGTGTTCCAAATGAGCACTTCTCACGCCCTAGTAGTTTTGATGACAGCCTTTGGATTCTAGGAGGAAAATGAAGCAATCCGGTCGTGCGACTCAAATCAAATTTGGGGGTTTTACGTGCCAAACCAACGACGGGCATCTGGCACGCCCCAGCGGAGGACCGAGGATTAATTTCGACCACCTGGGAATCTTTTGACGTGCAATCGAAAGCTCGATTACCAAGCTGCCTTCTCCGCAATATACCTCCATCAGATTGCAGGCACCTCGGCCGGGATTCGAACCCGCCACATGGGGATCCGTAGGCCGGCACTCTCGCCTCGGAGCCACCGAGGCGGCTTCGTCGTGTGACTGAATGTGACGTAGGTGCACTGGCTTTGGTTTGACTACGATCATGTGATCATAGTTATGGTCACGTGATATCGTAGATAATAGGTCACGTGATTTAGAGGATTCCGTTCATGGCTACGAGCGACTTCACACACATGCAGGGAGGGTGAAGAGACAAGGGAAGGGGGTTGCGTGGTCTCTAGGTCAACGCAATTTATTCTGCATCCCTGTAGCCCGCATACACGTCAGCAGGGTACCTGCCCCTAATTGTCTTGACCACACAGGATGGCAGGGGCCGCCTATTCTTCTTTCCCAAGCGGCTCCACAGCCACAGGGCACACTGCCTGTAGGCTGCAAATCTGTAGTGCCTGGAACAATGACAGAGATAGGATGTAAGAAGCAAAGCCTATCACTCTGTTGGCAAATTCTACACTTGTTTTCATTTCTCTAGGCATGTAATCGTACTCTGCTTTTCTGTTACGTCCACTCCAGCTATCACATAGCAGAATCCCTAGTTGGCAGTCCATGTCGGATGGGCTAGACATGGAAGCCAAATTGAAGTGAACTGCTGTAGATTCATTCTAAATGCTCCAGAGTTAAAAAAAAAAAAAAAAAACTATAGGCCTTGGTTCTCCTAACGCACCTCCAACTCCAATCGACACAACAACCAGTTATACACCGGAATTAACAAGGAAGGAATATCTGTTGCGTGGTCATGATACATAAAATAAGTTCACAGGGTCCCAGTTCACAATTGTAGATAATATCTGTCATTGGTGTTGGTGACGAATATTGCATCGCTGTGTTTTGGGGAGGACACATGAAAATTATGTGCACTGGCCAGAGGGAATGGGAGCCATTCATCCAGAACAGTGGAAAGCTCCCCATATGATGTTGTTTAATTTGGGACAAAACAGTGCAGTTCGTAAGCCTGTAAAGCAGTGGTGTGCAAATATTGGTTTGAATCAAATAGTGCACTGTCGTTTCTAGCATCAACAGCGCAAAAAGAGCCGGTTGCATCGGCTTCCCTTTGCAGCGCAAAGGTTATGGCAAACATACTATTAAATTTGAACCAATATTTGCACACACCTACTGCAAAGGTTTCCTGCACACAAGTGCCAGGGAATGTGAACTCGTCAGAGAACGTCCCAATTTAACATTGTCTAAAGTGCTGCTGGCACTGCCGAAGCTTGTCATTGGTACTGGTGATTAGGGATTTGAGAATAGCAGCCTGGCCATGAGTGTTCTATGAAGCTCGCACAGAACAGTTTTGGTGTAAACATACGAGCTGAAGTGCTCATGCAATACTGGAGTGGCTCCAGCAGTTGTGATTTCATGTCTCTCCGACACAATCCGTGTCAATATCCGAACATGTCATTCTGACAGCTTCCATTTGCCATGACAGCTGCTACCACCCCCATGTGTTTATTGGTCCTGAATACCTTAGGGCTCAGGGCACCGCAATCATTTGCTATTTGGTCATATACGCATCTGCAAGACACATATATCAACATTTTTTCCCGTTTTAGACTGCGATATGTCTTCCATTATGCTGTGTTGATTTAGAGGTGACACTACTATCATCAGAGTAGTGGAGATACATATGAGCACCCCCAGGCCTCCCCATTCTTGCACGAGAAACTTTGAATTTCAGTGTTTATTTCAATGAATAGTGTTGTTAGAAAAATATTTTAACGAAAAATGATGCGATACTGTTTGGTGACCTATTCCAATCTCGAATCCTTTCTGTCATACTCACCCATGTGGGCACTGCAACATCATCCGTTAAAAAAAAAGCATGGATCTCGACGACGACAGCCTGCTTCTGAATAAGCTGTCCAGACATGGCACTCCTAAAAAACTATCCCAGCATAGCGTGCAAAGAATGCCACACCAGCGGTGCAAGTGTTGCTGGCACCACAAGGAACATGTCGAGATGATCATCCACCGGCTTCAGGGTGTCTGGTATCTGCATCCAAAAATAGTGTAAATCAAGACCCAGACACCCAATAATTATCACCCCACCTTGAGATTTTGGCTTTTCAACTAGATCAGGGGATTAAGGGATCGAAGCTAGGAAGGATTGGAGGGCAGGACGCCTTGACATGTCTCTGACTGGGGTGTTTACTGCCCTATATACCTCCCATGGACCAAAAGCCGTCCCAAAGTGGCAACAAAATATGTTACGGGAGCCAAAGTGTCATGCTGTCAGATGCCGGCAAAGTTACGACAGAGAAAACGAGCAGATGCAAGTGTGGCTGTTGTGGCGTCCCCCCTTGTGACAATCAAGTGAGCACAAACTATTGTGCAGCTCTTGGCACAGCAAATTAGGCAGCTGCCATACGCACATGGACTCTTCTGGCACCGCCAAAATTCTTGACGTGGCAGATTTTTATAAAAAAAGTAAGCAAACGTAAAACAACGCATTGCAAGCGTCCCGGCTGGTGCCTTTGGTGCAATGATGTTCACATGCACGTAAGGGCAACTTCGGCAGGCTTGCAGTTACACGTGCTTTGTCGCGCGGGCGGAGACAACGGCTGTTCGACCGAAACCGAAACCATGCCACTCCGCGCTCCGTCGCCAACTGCATGGTTCCCAAAATAGTATGCAAAATGTAACTGTCCAGCATACGACAATAAACAGTCCAGCGACTTGTGCTTGCCAGGCCGGCAGGCGAGGTACAGGCTAAACACACAGAAAAAAAGAACCTGAGCGTATCGATGCAAGACACTGCGAATCAAGGTCAAAAAAGTTCTTGGAGCGCTTCGTGCAACGACTGAACTCGAGACAAACAAGCACGCTGTGCGGGTTCAGCGTGCAGACATTGCCTTCTTTGCTTTAGCTCACTTCTCTTCACCAACTTTCTTTTGCGGCAGATTTTTCACGTACCGGGGTCCCTCTCGAAAGAAAGCCCACCAGGAAAAACCTAAGTAATCAAAACTTTGCCAAGCAGTCATTGAGTTAGAGAGGGATTTTTATAGCAGCGTATGATTTAAACAAGAGCAGGAATGTCGATGCGTTTCAGTTTAGTAAGCGCCAT